GGCCAAATGCCAGTAATGACCTTGGCTATGTAAGTTATTTACATCAGCCAGCATTGAATTCGGCTACAGAAGTTATTTGGGTACTAGAGATGCACCTGCACTGGCATTCTACTGACAGAATTCACTGCCTTCCAGAACCCTTACCTTCAGTCTGAACCACAGTACTACTATCTTGTACTTCTGTGTTTTCCTGCAATTATTTCTGTATGTTTTAAGTTTGATTTTCAAATTTAGTTTATAAAAGCATTCAGCTAACAAATCTGTATATACTATGAAACATTTTAGAATGTCCACAAATTAGCAATTGTTCTTGAGCCTGGTAGACAGCACTCATAATGACATAAGCCATTCCTAATGCCCTGTCAAAGCCCTGTGTATAGAATTAGCTAAGTCTCCTCCTGTTTCCTGACTCTACCAGCACACAGGCCCTCAACTCAGAGATGGCAGCCCAGAAGCTACCATGAGGTGTCTAATTCTAGTCATGTCCACCTGGCTCCTGGTCTGGGCTGGTACCTTTTCTAGGCAGCAGATTCCAAGTCTGTGATTTAGATAGAAAAAAGCTAGTCTGGATTTCAGCTTCCTTGAAAATAAGGGCCAACATTCCTTTATAATTTTGTTTAAATGCCAACTGCCATGTGAAATACTCTCCTACATTACACCAAGGTTAAATGTGTCTTAAGTAGCAAGACAGTATTTGTACGAAAGTATAGCAACTTAGCATTACTCATAAATTCATCATGCTCTATGGCATTATTTAAGCTTGCTTCCATAGCTGGCTCTACTTAGCAATGATGAGAGGAATTTCTAGTAAGTTTGACATGGAAAGAACATGTGTGTTGGACTTGGGATTTTTTCCACATGGTGCCATAGGTTTAAAAAACTTATTAACTCTAGCACAATTCATTGATCTTACAAAGAAACAAATGAAAACACTACCAAGTCATCACTTCAATGAAAATATATTTCACATTAAACAGAATGTATAAAGGAATCACCATGGTCACATGATGCTGTGAGGTATAACACTTCACACACACACACACACACACACACACACACACACACACTAGGTGTCTATAGCAAAATAAAGCCATTAAAAATGGGCAGGCATTTTTAAAGTCAGGTCATGCTGTCATTTTGTGTACTTATCAGAAAAGGCATTTCCCCCCCCCCAATATTCATGAAGATAAATGCCACTGCATTATTAGAGGCATGTATTTTATTTAGTATATACACATACACAAACATACACAGTTTTCATAACTAATAAATTCTTAAACTGCAGCCTGCTTTAAAAGCACATGAATGAGATTACTATTGAGACTTACAAACCTCTCTCAGTATTATGGTTTTCTCCAATCCCTTTATTATGTCAAAACAAAACTTTCAAAGAAAAGGTAATTTTAATCTGAAAGTCACATTCAATAACATAAAAAATAAGAAAACACAGCATTATATGGCATAAAATGCTTGGTGTATACATTCTAGTGTCATTTTTCCCCATTCAGATCTTTATGTTACAGTCTATATTAAAGTGACATACTGGGACCAATTTTGGGCCCCCTTGTTTCACAGCACTATGCTTTTTATTTGTGCCTGGTTTTAATATAGTTGGCAAACACAGGAACAAACAAACAAAGAAAACCCCCACAGTCCAACAGAAAAACAAGAGCAAACTCAAAACCAAGAATCTGCACATGAGATACATTCAAAGTCAATCAGTAGGAAAACCACTTGATGGTTTGGAGGGACTACAATGGCAAATTTGAAGGGGCAATATGAAGAGTCCTTGCTTGATTCAGTTGCCCATGCATATAATAAATAATATGTGTAAGAGAACAGAAATCACTATACACTGTTTAATTCTTCCTTATAACTCAAATTAACCCCAAAGGAGTAATGTGGGACAATGCATTTGCATGTGGCAAAGCTTAAATGAAAAGACTTCCTGATAATATTTTCAAGAGAGAAAGCCCAGAGAGGGAGAAGCTCCTGAATTTCTTCTCCTTTTAAATAAAGGAAAGGAGATATGCAGCCCAGACTGAGGACATGTTTAACTAGAGTTCAGCAAATGCCTAGAATATTTATAGGAGGAGATATCTAAGTGCCTATGGGCTCTGAGGCCAGGAAAGAGGCCGGCCACAAAGTGAACTTCCAAGGCAGCATCACTCAGGTTACTTAGAGGACAACAATAGACAAGGACAGGCAGTGCTTTAGTAGCAGCTGAAGCTTCTAAATAGAACCATAAAACAAAACTTTGCTAAAGCCCAAGGTGAAAGTCTCAAGGTTTCTACCAAGAGAGGACAGTGTTTGACACACTACCAAGGAATAGTTATGTTCCAGTCTAATAATTTGGAATCCAGCAGTTAAAGGTGATAGAAATTTCTTCAGATGGCTGGCAGCTGACATTTGGCTACCAGCAGCTTCACGGGTGCGCCAAACACCACCTGTGTCAATTCAAACACAAAACCACATGAGATCAGCAGAGAAACGAGGGATCTTGCACTTGATAATTGAATTTTCCTTGGCTCATACAGTGTTTCCCAATAGAAGTATTGCAGTATTTTTCACAGGACCATCCTTTCAGATGAGTTAAATTTTCCTTATGTGAGACTTTCCTAAAATCTTCAGATATGGTGTTGCTTTACCTTTCACCAAAAATAATCCTCTTGTATTTGGAAATCCTGCCTTCTAAACTGAAACACAGTTTTGGGAAAAGACACCCATGGTGCAGTGAGAGTATAAGGGGATGGCTGCCCACTAAATCTTCCTTGCATCCAAACCTACAAATAATTAATTGTCTCAAGAATTCCCTTGTTTCCATCCACTGCGACAACAAAACCCACCAACACATTTTTAAACACTACATGGCGGGGATGGTACCACCTTGGGTTGAAAAGGATTTGAGAATTAAACCATAAAACATAAAAATGTACAAGCAGTATGAATAAAGTGATTGGGCAAAATTCTTTTTGGATAGGGATTTTACATTTTGTTTAGGGACGTGGTGAATAAATTTGAGGACTCATGGATGTTCCTTAAATTCTGTGGATTTTTCTGGTTCTTATTGGGTAGTAAGATAAGTGAACTGAAGGGAAGTTAATTAAGTCAAGGTAAGCTAACAACAAAAATAACATTTTAATAAATGCAAAGCCATACAATTGTCAGGGAAACAGACTGCTAAAGTGAATTATAGTGTTTTAACCTGTTTATGTGCAGCATTCCATTTTTGGAACACATAACAACGATGGAAAATAGAAACTTTCTCTTCAAATTTTTGATTCTTGAATTTTTCTAGGTAACATATATGAATTTCATGCAAAAGCTTTTAAAAACTGCAACTTTCCACATAAATAGGTTAAGTATGCCAGAAAGTAGCTACTATTCTGAAGGAGGGATGTAGCTCAGAAGTAACCTGTCATGCGTTTCCTTTCATATGTCAAAGGACTACAGTTATTTTCCTGAGAACTGGGACAAAGGGACTCTAAAAATTCAATGACCACAGGCAAGAGTTAATGTCAAGTAGAAATAAGTACACAAACACAGTGACTTCAGCTGTGTGGCCTCTTTGATCTATTACCTCATTTGAGAAGTAAAATGGTTGGACTAATGTATCTGAAAGTTTACCTTGGGCCCGGGAGACAACTCAGCGGCATAAGCGCCTGACTGGCATGCACAGGGTCCTGAGTACTATCCCCCGTACCGCAAAAAAAAAAGAAAAGTTTACCTTGATTTAGTAGAGTTGTTTTATATGTTTCTTGGTCTGTTAGTGTACCTGATAATCTGTGTTTATGATCATTAACTTGACAAGGACTTAAATCTGATTCTGGCAAAAAGCCTGGATTAAGTCATTTCAAGCCCTGAACTTCTAATAAAAGAAGTGGAACATCATAAAAATCCAGTGACAGACAGAAAAAAAATCAAGTAATCAATAAGACAGTTTCTAGTATTAAATGTACCCTATTCAGTGAGCAGGAAGGGAGGTTGGTATCATTCAAAAGTGATAAGTTAAATTTCCCCCAAGTCTACAACATTCCTTGAATTAAGGAAAGAAAGAAGGGCAGCGATGACTTGCTTAAATCTGTGAGTTGAGACTGAGTCATGTCTGACCCCATGAACCATCACATATGTACTCAGCAGGGAAGCAGAATTCTGTTCCCACATGAACAAAATCCTGATTTCATAAGAGACAACTTAGGCTATTGTACATTTTTAGTAAATTAACAGGTGTTTTTAATAAATCTGCAATTCTGAAGGAAAAAAAATCCAGTAACAGAAAATGATGAGAATATAAAGATGTTTTTATGAGTCTAACATGACAGGACCTATAGAAATTAAGTTAGAAAAATATTTGTTGATAGATACTAATTATGTTTTTATTATTCAAAAACAAAGCACAAGGTGAAGTAAATAAAATGTGAAATATGTGTACCTAAGTGCATATAACTACAGAGCATATATAATCTGTTTTCTTAAGTGAGAGGGGCTAGGGATGAAGCCCAGTGGCAGGTAATGTGTTTAGCATGTGTGAAGCAGAGACAAAGAGACAGAGAGACAGAGAGACAGAGAGACAGAGACAGAGAGAGACAGAGACAGACACAAAGACAGAGACAAAGACAAAGACACAGAGGAGTAGTTTTACTAACACTCCTTTGCAGCACTATGAGAACATTCTATCCTTGTCCATGAAAAAGGTACTACTTAAGATGGGCTGGTGGTCCTTAGCTAATGCTTCTCAGCCTTCACACTCATACTCCTAAACAGCAGAGGCAAGGAAGACAGGACATGACACTGATGAATGCATATGAAACAAGTACTTGAAATCCACTTCCGTTCTTGTGTGTGCTTCAAAAAACAACATATTTGTATTCTTTCAGATAAAACTTGCCATCTTGGAGCTAAGTGATGTTCATCTTATGTTCACATACCCTAGTTGGAGAGTTACAGATTTAGAGTATCATTGAAAGACTATACCTTTTTTTAAAGGGATGTTGCATTTATCAACAGAAGGTGTTCAGAGTAGTTTCTTGGCCAGGACTGTTAAAGCCTTCGATAAGGTTTTTGTTACAGTCATCCAGGCTGAGATTTTCACTGGATCTCTTGGGGAATGCTGGGGGACCAGTGAAGTCTAAGAGATCTTGAAGTGCTCGAGCATGACCAGTTCCATTTTGGTCCAGAGACATTCCAGGAATCATTTCACTCACAGGTGAAAATTCTGGGATGGAGATCAACTCTTCTTTGGAAACAGGACTAGAGAAATGGAGATAGGAAGAGACAGAAAGGGAAGGAGAGATGAGAGAACATGACAATATGTTCATGTGCTTTATTTATAATATTTTGTTACATTGCTCTTCTAGAGAAGATGGATTTAGAGACAGAGTGTGTGTTTAATACACAATAAAAAAACACAAAGAAGTTTAAATCTAAGAAGTGGTGGACACAGGGCCCTAGACAAGTAGACTGGGCAGGGCTGTGAAGGCCAAGCTTACACTGTCCAATGGGTGAAAGTCAAAAAGCTACATGAACAAGCACTTTACTACTGAGAAGCAAGGCCCTTCTAGAACTTTCAAAATGGGACATTAAAACAGATAGAAAAGCTACAAGTTCAAAGCTAAATGAGGAAGGGTCCTAGTTAACACTGTTCCTTAACTCTGGTACTCTCTTTCTAGCAGTGCTGTCCTGGCTAAGCTGCTTTTCCTGCCTCTGGCCTCAGTCTCCTCCCCTGTAAAATGGAAAGAACAGTCCTTTCTCCCTCCTGGTCTCCCATGAGTGTGAATGTGACCATGCAGGGAAGAGTTCATGCCAAGCCACCTGAATGCTCAGTTAAGGCTGGGGACTGGGAAGGGAATCATTAACAAGGACCCTATCCATTTAATTACCTGCAGAACCAATTTCATCCACTGTCACCTCTCTGAAGCCAGGTTTCAAATCCACCCTGACTTATCCAGCTCTGCCTCGCCAAGCCTTACTGTTCCTCTATCCTCCTCCTTTAGATGGAAGGAGTTTCACTGCTGCTTGTTCTACATCAAGCCAGTCCAGGCCCAGAAGAGTGAGGGCTGGGAAACAGGTCTGTTTTCAGGAGTCTCTTAATAACCAGAGTAAGGCTGGTTTCTCTTTCTTAAGATCTTAGAGAATAATCTAGAAAAACCAGTTGAACTGAAGCATCTCAGATGGCCCACCTCCCTCATACTTGAACCCAGTTAAAGGAAAGTAGCTAACCTAACACCACTTTTGATGTTTGAAGCCTTGGCAAAATGCCTGATTAAACAGAAACACCCTATCCCATTTTTTATTTTTCCCCATCTCAATCCCCAGGGTTAACATACTCCTGCTGGCTTGAATCACTGGTGGAATCTGCACATCTGCCCCACCACATAGCTTGTACCACTGGTGTTTCAAATGGATCTGATCACTTTTATCAGTCTTTTTACCAATAAAATAAGTAAAATGCCATCTGTTGGAACAATCATGGCAGGTATCGATGGTGGTTCAAGTAGCTCAACAGTGAGACATAAATTGTAGTCCCATTGTGAACACGTTAAACAAATGGTCAGAGCATGGGAAAAAGAAAATGCCTTTTTCCCTAAGCTTAAGTACAGTCACCAGGAGTCATAATCTCTCTCTATGGGAGAACTCAGTGTGCAAAGTCCTTCCTTGAACTCTGGGCAGTGGTACCACGTCTTGTCATTCTCTCTCCACCTAAAAAGCATCGAAGAGTAAGCATACCTTGCTTAATGTGGTCGTGGAAATATGTTGTATTAACGTTAAATACTGTATCACCTACTTAAGAGGTCTAGGCAGGAGGATCACAAGTTCTAGGCCAACCTGAGCAACTTAGTGAGGACCCCCCATCTCAAAATAAAAAGGGCTAGAGATGTAGTTTGGTGGGAAAGTGCTTGCTTAGCATGCATGAGGTGCTGGATTTAATCCCTAGTACTGGGGGACAAAAAATATTGCTTTAGCTGTTTTTCTGCTGGAGGAAGAATGGAACCAGTTAGGGAAAGCCTATAACGATGGTGGTATTGGGGAGGGAAGACTAATGGGGCTTTGAGGGGTCCTGTTATCAGTCTCTACAGAAACTGCTATACTGATGACAGAGCTGCTACACCCTGGACTTTCACACATCTGGCTCAAGTTTAGTAACTACAAATGGGACGTTTACAATCAGTGTGCCAAGGACCACACCTCCACCTTTACCCCCAGACTACACTAAGAACTCACTACCAAAGAAAGAAAGGTAAGCTTTGCAGGCTATAGCTTTAGCAGTGCTTTTATAAAACACTGTCACACTCTACTGACTCAGAAAACAACCCGCTTATCCAACTGACCTGCCCAAGGCTGTCTATGTCAACATCTCTGCCTTAATCCCATGCCAATTAGTTCTCTTTTTTTGAAGTTAATTTGCCAGACAATGTCATATACAAACATGAAACCAATTTAAGAATTCCTTAGGATTTTAGTATTTGAAAGCAAATTTGTCAACTTGAACTCTTTCCTACTGATTTGAGAAGGACAGGAGAGGGAGTAGGGGAAAGAGATATATCTATGGAGGAAGAGATGGCTCAGTGGAATAAACGCTTGCCTGGCAAGAGCAAGGGCCTGAGTTCAATCCCCGGTTCTGCAACAACAACAACAAAAAATCATATCAGAAGAGATATATCTATGTGTGTAAGCAGGATGGTTTGGGCAACTGTACTGTGAGTTTCTGCTGACCTATGGAAAGGAGGAAATAGTACTTAATTTGTTTTGTCTCCTTTTTTCAATTGTTTGTACTTTTCTTAATTTCTTATACACTTCGCTATTCTTCCAATTTTACATGCATACCTCTGGTAATATGAACAAATGGTTGGAAGATAATACTATGTATTACATCAAATACTGTGAAATTCATATTACTTTGCTAAGTGAAATTTTGTATCACTTGTAATTTTTTGTTTTAATACCATTTTGTATTCTCTTTAAAAAATAAAGAAGTAAAATATAAAATAAAGCAAATTCATCCCTTTATTAAGTCTTCATTAACAAGTTTCTTTAAATATGAGACTCTACAAAAAGGATGCTCTTGGGGGCCTGGTCCGATCCCCTTTACCTATAGGTGCACCCGTTGCCAGCAGCAGAGAGTGACCTTCTGAATGCTCATGGTTGTCATGCTCTCTCTGGCCAAATTTCCTTTGGATGATGAGAGCCATAGTTAGTCCTGCATCCTCTACCCTACAGAGTCCACAGGGAATGTGTGTCAGAGTGGTACAAAAGCCACCCATCTTATCTCTAACACACAACTCTCTAGTGGAAATTCTGCCTCCAGAGATCCTGTGAGATTGTCTGAGAACATACGGTTGCGTAGTGCCTTCCCTCCTCTGCCCTTCATTCTAACAAACTCCTGAGAGCCCTTCTCTAATAAATCACATGCCCAGAAACCCTGTCCCAGGATCTGCTTCCAGGGAGCCTTACCTAACTAGTAGTGAGACTCTAGAATTATTTCACTGACAGCTTTCTTATAATGTCAAACAAGCACGCATCAGGTGATTTGGTTGTGTAAAAGCTAAAGAAACTAACTAAAAGATGGTGACAATGTTTGGAGAAGGGATGCACTGTAAATGCAAAAAAAAAAAAAAAAAAAAAAAAAAAAAAAAAAAAAAAAAAAACCTGACATACCTCACATCCATAGATTGAACTTCTTCAGTTGAATCATCCAGACTATTTGATTTTCCATCAAGGGCACCCAGATGAACAAGTCCCCCAATGGGTTTAAGCCCATTAGAGAAAACATCTCGGGGAAAACCTTCCGGGGCAGTGCGCCCTCTGCCATTAATTTCCTGGCATGTGTTCAATCCATTGAGTTCTGATTATGAACACAAAATCCTTGTGTGAATCATAAAATATCTAGTAACAGTGAAGTAGCAGAAAATACATAACAAAGCAATCAATTTAATCCTTTACTTCACTAATAATGCAACTATCACCAATAACTCCATGTAATTGCCCTCTCATGGGGGAAGATAAGGAAAAGCACATTAAAATTGTCTGTAGGGCCTCAGGAGAAGAACAGAGCCAGGTCTCTTTTTTTGTCTGAGTCAGAGTTTCACTATAAAGTTCAGGCTGGTCTTGAGTTCACCTTGTAGCTCAGACTGGCCTCAAACTCCCAGTGATTCTCCTGCCTCAGTCTCCCCAAGTGCTGGAATTACAGGCAAGTGCCAACATGCCTAGCTATCACAGCTAGGTATTAACACCTGACCAACAGTTAAGATCCCTAAAAAGCATAGAGAACCAGCAGACAGAGTGCCTTCCATGTCAGGATCAACAGAGTAATTGAGGAAGCCAGTGGTTTTCTACAGATGCCACAGGAAGAGAAAATGATGGCAGTCACACTCTTGGGACCCACATGCTTTACCCCTTTAAGAAAATTTCTGAGCCTTCACTGCCGAAATGGATAGTCCAAACACACTTACCTATTTTGCTGGGGGCAACTGGTTTTATCTTATTTTCTACACACACAACAGGCTGAATCTCCACTTTAGGGTCTTCTTTCTGAAAATAAGTGGGTAGATAAAAAAGGCTGACATTGAATAGCAAAACAAGTATTTAAAGAGAAGACTTGGAGCCTTGCTGGGCCATCTGCCTGGTTCACATAAGTTTTTGAATCTTCAGCTGTTTCACCTTATTAATATGTCTCCATTCTCTTTTATAAGGGTTTTTTTTTTGTTGTTGTTCCTCGAATGCCTTCAGGGCACTTTTGGCCAGCGGGAGAGTTGTGAGGTTCGAACTCCAGCAACCTGAGGCTGCCAGCTTTGTGGAAGCAGCCACTTAAAGGACTGAGCTAGGGCCAGGCCCCCATGTCTCCATTCTCTTTTGTATTCATGTACTATTATGCCTCTCCTTGCATATCCACCCATTTATTTATTTATTTATTTATTTAGTATTTTTAGGGAAGGGTCTACAGGGTATAAAGGGTCTCATTACTAGATCTGACTTGTAGTGATCCGCCTATTTACAGCCTCCCAAAAGCTGGGATTACATGCGTGCACCACCATGCCAGTCTCAATTGCAGCCTCAATGTGCCCCAGGGGTGGGGCTGGCACCACCCCATTGTTTTGAGGAAATCTTTTACTTGCTCCATCTATGAAGATCCTATTTTTTTTTCAGAACCCTGTATCTTCTTTAACCCAGCCAAGAAAAGATCAGGAAAAGTCCATTTTTCTTATCTCTAAGACCTGTAATCACACTGAATGTATCCTGTCATTCTTTTCCACTCAGCACATGTGGTCATCTGACATCTGTACCTTCACTTCTGGAGATACATCACTCTTCCTTGTTCTCTTCATGATTTCATCTATTCTCTGGAAATAAAAAAAGGTAAGAGGACTGTAAGGCCAAAAACATAAAAGAGTAGTTGGGTATATATGCAATTTCACATTTCTCTGAAAACCTGTAAAAGTCAAATGTCAGCAGAGGATAAGAAAAGGTATAGAAAAGGTTTCCATTGTTTTTGTAGATGTGTACCTCTGGCCCATGAACAATGTCAAATGAAGTGCACCAGATGCTCAAGAGGGAAGACCACAGGCTGGTCTCCTGGTTCCCAGGCCTATAAGAACACAAAGCCCAGGCTGAGCCCAGTGGTGGTGAATCTAAGGCAAGCATGCAATAGTAGGTCATTTGTATCATTGAAAGCTCTAAATGGTTTGTCATCACTGGCCTAAGACATCACGATGAGAACAGACCCTTATAATCAGTCTCCTTAAATCCAACTTTATCTTTAAGTACATTAAGTGAAAGTGGACTAAACATTCCAATTAAAAGATAAAAACAATCAAAGTGGGTTATAACAGTAAGTCCTATGTGCTACTTACAACAGACGCTCTTATAAGGGCACACACATAGGCTCAAAGTAAAAAGATGGAAAATATTTACCATGCAGATACTAATTACAAAAAAACTGCCAAAGCAAATTTTAAAAGAAATATTATTAGAGTTAAGAAGGACATTTTATAAGAAAGGGCCAATTCAGCAGGAAAATCTAACCATCTAAAATATGCATTCAATTAAAAGCAGGGCTTCAAATATATAAAACAAAAACTGACAGACCTGAAAGGAAAAAAATAGACAAATCTATAACCACAGATGGAGTTCTATATCACTCCTTTCTCAGTAATTACTACAACAAGATGACAAAAAACAAAGAAGATTTAAACAGCACTATAGATAAAACTGAGCTGGATTTACCTCCTGTTCCTGCTTTACCCTCATCCTAAGTCCTGATCCCTCTGCACTTACCTTCTTCCTCTCTAGTCGCTCCTGCTCAATCTGCAGCATGATTTGTTCTCTTTCTAGACGCATTTGTTTAGCTGCCTCCTGGGCCTTTGCTTCTGCTGTTTCTTTCTGAAAAAACAAAACAAACAAAAACAGGTAAACCAAGGTATAGGCCTAACGAAGCTAAGAAAACATTGTAGCAATTCTCTTGGCTTTGCACAACTTCTGTCTCCCCATCATCTAGCCTGAAGTAGATGCCCCTCTCATACACAATGTGGATTTATATAACATGCTTTATGATACCGTAGATGCAGTTAGGCTTTATCCATATACCTCAGCCCACCATGGAAATCATCTACAGACAGTTCTCTTACATGGCCAAAGTCTCTGTACTTGAGCCAAAAGTTTCTAGGAGTAAATTCCCCAAATAGCAACCTTCCACAAACAAGGTGGTGCAGTCAGATAAATCGTTAAGACTCTTCACTCCTCAGAGGGACAATCCTAAAGCATGCATGATCCCCAGGCTCTCAGGGGATCCCAATGGTATCGAGTTCCACTAATCTACAGTAACACCCCCATTAATTTGTCTCTCTCTTGTTTCCATACCAGCTTCAGAGGATTCCCTCTCAAATAAACCACTGGCACCCAAATTACTTCAGAGGAAACCCAAACTCACAGATAGCAAACTTGTCTCAAGCAACTAACATTTAATGACTAGTCCAGACAGTTTAAGAAAAAAACCTTAAGTAACTACTGCATGTCATTCAAACAATGTATTTCACCTAATATTAATGAAGGTCTTGAAAAACAAAATAAGTCCATCTGAACACTCATACCTGCTTTTCCATCATAGCTTTTTCTTGCTTCTCTTTCAACAAAAGCTCCTCTGAAGCCTTCTGCTTGGCCTCCTCTTCTGCCTTTCTTTTTTCTTCCTCTTCTTGGAGCTTCTTTTCTTCTTCTTGCTTACGGGATGCTTCTTCTAAGCACTGCCTTTCCTCCTCTGCCTTTCTTTTCAATTCCTCTTTCTCCCGCCTTTTGAGAATATAAACATTGTCAGAAGACACGCTCAAAAGGCAAACTGCCAAAGAGCCATGAGTTGTCGGTAGTAATGTTCAACATGTTAACAAACACATGCATCTGAATTCATAACCATGTTATAAAATGACCCATTCTTCCTAGAAGTCCATTCTAGTCTGAATATTTACCAAAAAAATATTAACCAGGCTTGACTTTAAATGACAGTGACAATATAGGATCCATCATACTTATTTCATAACAAGTCTTATCTAAGCACAAAGTTAAAACAACTCAACCTAGAAAATGTGGGAAATATTGCAGTGGCTACAAATGCTCCAGTCAGCAATTAAAGAGCAGTGAACATGTTTTCAACAAGTTTACTTTGGATTCTAATTGGTATGTGACTTCTGAAGTACCCAATGAAAAAAAATGTTCAACAAAAAAAACTCAAGGCACCTATTTTCCATTTATTTTGGCAATCTTTAAAAGTCTGTTTTGAGGGGAATGGGAAAAAAAGAATCAAGTTGTGTCATGTATAGGTACAAATTCTCCATGTATAACTTAAATGTGCCAATAAATAAAATTAATTTTAAAGCCTATTTTAGCTTATAGTCTTTGCTATATAAAATTTAGATATTTTCATCCACAGATGAATGATATAATGATAAAGAGCTCTAAGCAATGAGAGGAAATTCTGTGAAGTCTAAAAGCTTGTTTTCAGATTTATAATATTCTTCCTACTTATAAGCGTGTCACTTCCCTTGGGTAGTCATGAGCAATGTAAACTATGGGCAGGACCCACATTGCATTCTGATTGTGCCATTTGTTATGTGATACTTGGAAAGTTATTCACCATTTCTGATCTCCATTTTTAAAATGTACATATCTACAGTATTTCTCCATGGCATTATTGTAAAAACTAAGGTAACAGATGGGTATGCCTGGCTCTGGAACATTCTCAAATATTAGTTTTACAATTTAAAACGAATCCTCCCTCCAACCCCAGAGTCTATTTAAGTGCATGTACAAATTTGTATCTTTTCCAGAAATTACCTTTATTTGGAAGCATTTGTCACTGACTTACTGAGGTGCTCTTATGTTGTTATAAAAAGATCAAGACAGACAGTCCTTCCATCTTAATGGTCAGCTTCAGGAATCATGCAAATAGCCTATGTCTCACCAAAGAAATATTTTAACAAGAAATATGTAAAGGTATTAACCCAAGACTTAACAGTGCATAATAACATACTCTATGCCAGAGGTTGAAGTGCCTGGAAGCACTGTGAGAAAACTAAAATTTAAACATGTATTATACAGAGGAGCATTGAGAGGCTTAATCAGAAAGAAACTCCCAGGCCAGACATGGTGGTGCACACCTGTAATTCTAGTACTTGGGAGACTGAGGCAGGAGGATTGTTGCAAGTTCAAGACTAGCCTGAGCTACAAAGTGAACTCAAGTCAGCCTGAGCTGCATAGTGAGACACTGTCTCAAAAAGAAAAAAAAAAAAACCCTCCCATTCTTTTAGATTTTATAATGAAATACTAGGTACTATTTCCAATACAGGGTTATTAAAAATGAATGTGGTAATAAGACATCCAAATGTAAATCAAAGTACTAATTCAATTTTATCCCCTTTTAAAATTTATTTTATTTTTTATGTATTTGGTGACGGGTCTCACTATGAAGCTCGGACTCATAGTGATCCTCCTGTTTTTAGCCTCCCCAGTGCTGGGATTATAGGCATGCGCCAACATGCCTGGTCTTGAATGCTGGCTCAGTGTGCCCCAGGGGTGTGGCTGGTGTGGCATGTGGTTTTATCCCTTTTTAGAAAGCCAATTGTAACTGACCCAGAGAAGTTAAAATACAAAGGTACATAGTATGTGAATTAACACAAGTTATTATCTTCATCTTAAAGATCAGAAAAACGGGGCCAGGGAGATGGCTCAGTAGGATAAGTGCTTGACTGGCAAACGCAAGGATCTGAGTTCAATCCCCGGTTCCGCCAAAAAAAAAAAAAATCTAAAAACCACTACTTCATCCATTTTTACCATCAGGACTTTGAAGTTTCCAGATACACACATGTAGTAACAACACTATGGCCCCCTAAACCTCCAGAATTCTCGTTATCTTTCAAAACAAATTATTTTTTGTAAGTCCATCAGCCCCTGGTTTCTATGGTGCCTCCATTGAAACTGTCTTCTGTAGACAATATTCTCTCTTTACCATACTTTGATTTCTTCTTAGTAGGTGAAAACTGGCTTGAGTGTGAGTGAGCACGCGTGCGCGCGCACACACACACACACACACACACACACACAGATTGGCTTCCCCTGTATGAATCCAGGTTCTTCATAAACCTCTCCAAATATGCAAATTTTTTTAATGATCTGAAATTTTTTTCTTCTCCATGCTTAAGGAATCTTTTTCCCCTCGGCCCTCTGCTGTAGGCCACCTTTAGCCCACCACTTCTGCCACTGTTACTAAGTTCCTTCCAGAGTTTATAAGTTTTGTGGGTTATTACCCTCCAAACTCACTTTTCCCCTTGTAACTAAGTAGAAAGCAAAGAAAGCAATGCATTGTTACTATTTGGTGTTTAGCCGATACAGATACAGCCTTTGTCCCTGTTGCTGGCCACTAGTAAAAGTATTCATATAATGGTCCCTGCTTCTCAACCTCTAGCATCTTACCCCCTCTCCGGTTCTACCCTGTCACATCTTACATCACTGACATGTGCTCAGCTTTTAATTGTTTAATCTTACAGATGAGTATGTGAATTTCACTATTTCTGTGTGCTTGAATGTTTCTATTTTAAAGAAAAGTTTAATTTCCATCATTAATCTTCTCTGAGCTGATCCATCCTTCCACCTCCTTCTCTGATGGTGTGCCCTGGTGAGCACTGTATCTGCTTCCCTTTTCTCACAGTGCCCCACCCCAAGTGCCTGATCCCTTCCTAAGTATTTTTGTGATGGCATGGAGGTCACTTTGTTGTCTAGCACCAGGCCCAAGTGGTCCTCAGAACCTCTCATACCCTTCCTGGACCACACAGCACTGCTTAGAGAAAAACACAAACAAGGTTATGTGTACCTCAGTCTTTGCTGATACATTTTTATCCCATTCTTTGGATCTCCCATGGACAGTTCAAATTGCCAACATTTTTCCATCTTCATCCTCCTTATTTGATGGCATCGCCAGCCATTCTTTTTTTTGAGGGTGAACTTGTTTTATTGTATAATTTAAAAAAAGACTCCAAGAGGAAGGGTGGGTATGGATATGTATGGACAGCACATTGATCACTGATTTAATGAAGCTGAAACAGATTCTGCACTTTATGCAAGTTTTATAAACAGATGATTGAAGAATTCAAAGTTGTTTTAGCTCACATATCCTTTTGCATGTAACACCATACCTTGACTTACATGAATGACTCATGGAACCTTGATTTTCCAGTTATGCAAAAGACTGTAAAACATGTCATTTTTTGATAGTCAAGTATCTTAACACTCCATTTCTATTACCACCTGATATTCTTAGTAAGTCTACATTGAGTACAATCTTTTTTCTTTAAATTTAATATTTGTTCAAATATAAAATGACATTTCTATATGTATATTTGTATTTTTTTAAAAAATCACATGATCCAGCTGGGTGTTGTGGCAAATGCCTGTAATCCCAGCACTCAGGAGGCTGAGACACATGGATCGTTGCGAGTTTGAGACTAGCCTGGAGTACAAAGTGAGCTCAAGGCCAGCCTGAACAGCACAGTGAGACCCTGTCTCAAAAAGCCAGAAAAAAAATCACATAATCCTTTCTTAAACTTTTAAAAATCAGTTCAAGGAGTGGCCCATTTTCACTCTGCAGGGAATACTTCTTTCTTACCTTTAATACCTTTAATAATATAAAACCTCACTTCTTTTTGTGTGTATTTTGACTAATTCTTTAATCAAGACAACAACCAACCATTGTATAAAGAAGACTGAGGGGGTCTGATTTGGGTTTCTCTAAACTTTAATGTTCTATGGCATTATTTCTGAGAAAATGTCCCCTTTCTTTCTCTGCTTAGATGCAAAGGATTGCAAATGGCTGCCATTTGTGCTATCAATTCCACACTCTCCTGGCAACTCCACATTCTTCCTGTTAGCCCCTCTTCTTTTCAACGCTAGTTACACCTTTCTTTTTTTGAGACAAGATCTTAGTTTGCAGTTCAGACTCTCCTTGAACTCACTATGCAGCCCTGGCTGGCCCTGAACTCCCAGTGATCTTCCTGCCTCAACTTCTCCCCACCTAGTGCTGAGATTATAGGCTATTATGTCCATATCTAGCTGCACCTTTCTACGTGTACTTTTCCATGTCCTGCAAAAATGTATGAGTTTCAGGCATCCAAGCCACTCCCTTTAATCTTCCACCTGCATTCCACTCATAACCACTGAATGACGAGTTTACACTACGGGCCTTTACTCCTCTTCTCAATAATTTCCCTCTAAAAATCTGTGCTCACCTCCTAAATCCCAAGATCTGTAGTCATTCCTTAACCTGGACATGTCTCACAGGTGTGACAGCCTGAACAGCCCTCCCCATAAGGCCCTTTCTATGACCCTGTGCCAAGATAGGCTGTGCTTACTTGGCTCCTCCTACCTCAGCTGCTGCCCTCCCCTGCAGCCCAAGCCCCATTGAGACAGCTCTTGCTATTTATTATACCTCCTTCCAAGACCCTGGAGGCTCAGGTAGAAAGAAGCCAGGTCTGAATAGTCCTGAGGAACTCTGCTTGCAATTCCAGGAACAGGGTTCTCGCTTGGACAACAAACTACAGCGTGGCTACACTTTACTTGTAGAGCCTCCCTGCCTGAATATTCTTTGATTTGGATCTCTAGCAGTTACTTCATCTTTTCTTTTTTTTTGGGGGGGGGGAAGAACCAGGAATTGAACTCAGGCCCTTGCGCTTGCCAGGGAAGCGTTCATTCTACTGAGCCATCTCCCCGGCCCCTATACTTCATCTTTCTAGTGTGACTTCTTGTGA